GGTCTCCTAAGAACACTATCAAAAATAAAACAAAAATAGCCATGGCAGATAATAGAAAAAACAGGAAAGAAAAAAAAAAAAAAAACAAAGAAAAAAAAAAAAAAAGAAAAGAAAGAAAAAAAAATAAAAAACCCAGATGCTATTCTAATTCCGAAAAAGTAAATACATCGTCCAGTTCAGTGAACAAAAGCTTTTATTTTCCTTTTTTAATTAAATATTTTTAGGAGCTACTTTTGAATGCTCTGTCTCACTACTTGATATCCTCCCTTCCACACTCTCCTTCACTCCCCACTTGGGCTATACAACCCAAGTGTGATTTAAAGAAATGTGTAAAGCAGCAAAAGCAATAGGATGTTTATCACAGCTGGATTTTTAATAGATTAAAGGAGGGAGGAATGCAGAAGCAACAACAAAAAAACCCAGTAGTTTGGAGTGCAATAAACTTCAACCTATAGTAACTGAATAATTTCAGCTCTTTTGACTCCTGGGATTTTGTCCTTGTTTTGAATACTATTGTTATCATTCTTTATTTTATTCTTCAAACCTCTTGGGTCTTCTTATCTGCCAGCCTTGACCAGTTTGCTTGGCACACAACCTTCTCCTTGCACTTTTCAAACATCCATGCAAGTACACAATGCTTTCCCATGGATTTGGCACTATCCCTATGAGATGCAACCTGACTTTCRTAACAGGCTGCTTTGGCAGTGGCTGGAAACAATCTGTGTTTCAAAACAGRAKAACTGAGAAACATGAAATTAACATKAATCCAATTGCWATATTGACATTTTTAGAATTATGTTACCCTTTTTCCAACATCTCCTATGACATCTCAGTCCTTTAAACAGTGTGCCCCACTGGCTGACAAGGCAGTATGATGCATCCACTGGATACAGTCAGGAACAAGCTGTATGTTCTCACATTTACAGAAAAATGCTGTTAGTATACAGCACTACATTTCAAAGAAAGCAAAGCAACACAATATAGATAGACCCACCTATTTAAGAAATTATAAATCAGACTTACAAAATATATGGAGTTGAAATTAATGTATAGTTAAGGAGCTACTTTTGAGAAGGTTTTTGCATAATCAGAAGAATATTGAGGCACTTTTGCACATTTTTGGGCGATAGAGGATTAGATGCCACCAATGTAATAGTTTATCTCTAGAATCTGGACTTTGGCAAAATAACAAGRGCAGAGAAAGATCTGGCACTATTGAGGAGGGGCAAGTTCTATTCTTTAAAAAAAAATACTTTTTATAAATCTAAAGAGAAAATCTCTCASGTAATAGAAAGTCTTTTCTAATTAAAAACTGCAGAATTGCTTTCCCAGAAATGAATGTGCTTCTTGATAGTTACATGTGATATAAAATAGCATTRTTAGTTGCTAGCATCAATATTATTAGCAACTTAGATGGGATTATTTACAGAATAATAAATTMWAAAAAAAAAMAAAAACAGGATTAGAAGTACTAGTTGCATGTGGAGGGCATCTTTACAGGAATTTTGCCAGAAGCTCCAAGTTTGCTTCCATTTTGCTCAGGTTGAGCACTGAGCTCCATCCATTCCAGTGCCACCATAGACCAGAATAAAGACAGCACCCCAGCACGGGTTGTTGGCTGGTTCAGCAAGGGCRGCTAATACTGAGGGTTTTCTAAATAATTTGGTTTTTCATGGACTGTCTAGTTTTTACACAACAGTAATTTGTTATCATGCCACTCTTGCAACAAAGAAAAACCTACTGTTCAAAAATACAGAGATGAAGAGATATTTATCAGATGAGGATCAAATATATACTATCTAGAACACCAGTTTGAAGAATACTACAGCAAATTTACAAGTGKGATGATACCATAAGAGGCCTGCTTCACCTGTTTTGGTGGTCTAGAAACACAGCAGCATAGTTATGAATGTGTTGTAGAGATGGTTGGATAGCAAATTGTTTAAAAACAAATCACCCGTCCAAGTTTCAAAYAACAGGAATCTCCAATCACTTTCACTCTTCTCTGTTGTTTTTGAACCTGTTCTGGCACTGCAACACTTTATATTTCATATCAGAATGTTTTTTAATAATTCATGTGGCTGTTCAGAATGCTTTGTCTTTGTTATTTTTCCTTAATTTAAGACAAAAATAATGTAGAGTTGGAAGGGCAGATGTTCATCTGGGTGTGTAAGCAATGGCATGACTGACATTTTTCTTGCAAACAGTGAGCATCTTGTGTTCATTACCAAAGGCAAATAAAGTTACCATTACATCYAGGAAAGATTCAGACCTGTCTCACYRACTACAAGAAAAGTGTGCTCATATTAGAAAAATAATCTCTATATTAAATATTTTCGACTAATACCTTTTTTTTTAGCCAGCTAGGCCTGATTTTATGTTAGAACTCTTAAAAATACTGATTTATTATAGGCTGTAGTTAGTAAAATGTATGCACTATTAAAGACATGTCAGAAYACAATCTTTACTTCCTTGACACTAATTCTTATTCACTTTACTTACCATGGATAGTTTTGTACACTAATACAAGAGCAGTTCACAAATCCAAAGTTAAATAAAAACTGTACAAAAGATTCTCTATTTCTACAACTGAAGGAGTTTCTTCAGGGAATAAATTGACTAAGTTTACATAATAGATCTCATATAGGCTATAGAATACATCTTCACACAGGTCTTTCTATACATGTATGTACTCTTGCAAACAAATCTACAGTGATTTTGAAAGCTTTGCCGTCCTCAGGAATATGTTATGAAGTTTCTTTCCTGCCTTGCAACATGTGCTGATTTCACACATTTGTTGGAACCATCAAATTCACCAGTTCCCCGAGTCTGTAACTTCTGGCTCTACAACTTCTCAGGAGGGAAATTGCTTGCTCCTTTACAGCCTCATTTCTGTCACCTACTCCCTTCCCAATCTCTCTTAACAGTAACTAGATCCCAGTTAACTGTTCTCTCCCTCAGCAACATCAGCTTTCAAACACATTCAAAGTGTATTTCCCACTGTGTCAAAACAACAAAAACCTTGGAATGCTCAAWGGTGACAAAGAATATCCATCTTTCTGTGATCCCTAGTGCAGAGCCTGATTGTRGGTGATTTGACAGGCTGGAGTGGACCCACTCCTCACCACTCCACTCAGTACCCAGGCAGCAACTCCCCCCATGCATTCCACAGTGGCATGAGAAGGTGATAGCTGCCATTTGGTTAAGCACAAAAGGAGACTAAGTTGTACCATCTGTAATTGAAAAATCTGGAATTATATTAACATTGAAGTGCTCTTGTTGCATTTTTAATCATCTTTCACCCTAAGGTATTTGTAATAGGAATTTTTTTTATAACTTAATATTTTTACACGAGTCTCTACTAGCAGGTCACTATTCATATTCAAATGAAAACTGATGTTCTGACACTCTGGCAGTGAAGCAACTTCAAGAAAGTTCAGTATCACACCTATTTCTTCTAGGGTCAGGTAACAAAAAACTCCCAATTACCTGGCCATCATCTAATGTCTACTTAGAATTTTCTTCCTCTACCTTGCAAAAGACAATAATGATTGAGTTGTTTCCACTAACACATAGAAGCACACATTAACTACTCCCAYGGATGGTTGGATCTACAAAATCTTATCCTAAATGTCTAGAATGACATCAGCAAACTGCAGATGATTGATACTTTCCATGTGCACTGTTTTCCAGAGATCATTTATGCCTCYACCCACCCATCACACCGTGATCTTTCCGGCTATCTCCAATTTAATTTTATCCATCTGTTGAAGCAGCCCAGTTCCTTCCACATGGTAGTGATGCTGTCACAGCTATGCAGTTTTCCACTGGTTTGAAATATTGACCTTGCATCASCATAATTCTTCTCTCAGCATATTGTCCTGGTTTGGGCTGGGATAGCATTAATTTTCCTCCTAGTAGCTGATAAAGTGGTTTGTTTTGCTTTTAGGATGAAAACAATGTCAACAACACTCTGACATTTTAGTTGTTCTTGAGCAGGGCTTACACCATACCCGACATTTCGATTTCACCTACTGCCCTGTCAGCAAGGAGGCTGGGGGAGACACAGCTGGGACAGCTGACCCCAGCTGAYCACTGGGATATGCCATGGTGTCAGTGTCATGCTTGGCATATAAACTTTGGGTAGTTGGCTGGGAGGTGGCAGGTCACTGTTCAGGAACTGGCTCATCATTGGAGAGCASATGATGAGCAACTGCTTTGGGTATCACTGTTGTATGCTCTTTAATAATTATTATAATTTTCCTTTCCTCTTCTGTCCTTTCAAAGTGTACTTATCTCAACCTGTAAGTTTTACCTTTTTGCKGATTCTCTCCCCCATTCCACTGGGGGCAGTGAACAAGTGGTTGTGTGGTGTTTTAGCTTCCAGAACAAGTTTAACCAATGGCAGGTTTCTTTGTCTCTTCTTTAATCACAGAATATTACACAGACAGCTTTTGAGGTGTTCAGGTAAATTGGTCCCTGAAGTGCAAAAGGTCCATAAAACCCTCCCATGAAAATATCTGTACTATTAAGATAATTCTTTGACAGGGAAATTGTGGCATTGTTATTATCAAATGTTAATTCATTAGCCTTTAGTAACATCTGAAGAGAACCACTGAAAATAACTTTATTCACAGATGATGAAAAGATACCAGGAACCTTACAGACCTGTTACTTAAAGCTTTTCTTGGTCCCTCTTGACAAGTATCATGACTTTCTGGTAGGATCTGTTACAACTGAAACAGAACTTCTTGACTGAGAGTCCCCCATTTTTACAATTTGTTTTGTTTTTTATTTTAAATTTGGCCAGGCAGAAAGTTGTTTTGCAGCTAGATTACCTAGCAGTCATCTTGCTTAACAGTATTGAGGGCAAATAAACTCAAGSCTTTCTAATCTCTCCTGGCCTTTCTACAGCACCTCGTGCTTCGGCTGACTGTCACAGGCTTGTAGCACTTTCTTCTATTCATCTTAGAAAATGTTTCACTACATTGTCACTTGCTGGGCCTTGCAGTTCACACATCTTTTTGGAGTCATTTAATGTTACATGGAACAAGTTTGCTCTTGATGAGACATCTATCCTGGCTAAGCTCCAGAACTGAGATACTMCATTATTCATTCAGACATAGTTGATCATATTCCTGTAGTGACATTTGAAGCCTTGCAGGTCTATTTTCTACTTAGTTTGTACTTTAATCTCGTATCGCAGTGGGTGAGGCATGGGAACCTTACCAGAATGTTGCAGTCACTTTCCTCATTTTCCATGTTTTTTACAACATGCAGGTTTTGTTTAGCAGACAGTTGATGTCTTTCTTCAGTTACTCACTGACCATGTCATGTCTACAGAAGAGGATGATACCCCTYAATTTCCATGCTGTACATTGTAGTTTGAGGTAACAGTCTCCTCTTCTGATGCTCCCACTTCATGTCGGATTTTTAAGAATTCTGCAGCATCAAGTTGGTACTAAACATATTTAGTTACCAGTCACTTGATCTAGAGAAGTTACAAATTTTGTTAAAAATACCCTTGTGCTGAACAAAAAGATGTTTCATGCATTTTCCAGCATCATAAGTTGAGATAATGATTTGCTGAATACTTGGGGAAGAAATACTTGCAAATTACATCAATTTTGAAAAAAGGTAATTCTTGAACAAATGCACAGTTTAATTACTTAAATTAGAATAGTGAGTGTTAGCAAAAGAAATTAGATCTAAATTAGCTAAATGGCTAGCATGATTTAAAATGTAAAGGTTTGGAATATACCTAACAGACAATAACTGCCTGAATCTGTTAAGAGAGATGAACTCAACATGAAAAATAGATCCCTTTAAAATGTGAGGAAATGTTTGTTGTGGCTCAGTGTTTTTTACTCTCTTCACATCTGTTCCAACCTTACTGAAAAAAACTRATAAAAAGGTACATCTGAAGAAAATACATATTATTCTGAGACAAGGATTTGAAATAAATCCCAACCAAAAAACTAAGATATTTGAAAAATCCAGGCTAACCTGTAGAATTTAAAGGGAACAGAATATTTTACTTCTGGGAGAAACTTATAATTAATTTTAAATCAGGACATCTATGCATAATATAATTTCCAGAGAAGCCCCATTTTCCAAACTACCTTTTTATATCACAAACATAAGGTCCAGTATAATTTTTTMATTTTAAATGTGAAAGCATGCTAGGGAAAGACATGTCCCAATCTTAGTTGTGGACACAGGTGTGTTTGCTTTTCTTCTCAAGTGTATATAAAGATAAGAGCACAAACTAATAATAGTACCAGTATAGTTGAGGTTCTGTGTTATATTCTAGATAGCCAGATTYGTCTATGGGAGGAAATAAGGGTGGTACTTAAAGTCAAATATGTCCTTAATATGTAGATTTTAAAGTCAATGTCATCTGAAACTGCCACCAAGTAGCTGGTGAAACCCCAAAAACTTCTGTTTGGAAGTTTTCTTTGAAATGTGAGGTCCTGCAGATACGAAGTTTTCTATCTGGGAGGCTGTCCTGACTATGACAAAACTATTAAGAGAAAAAAAATAGTATTTTCTTCCAGCTTTTGTTGTAGTTTTCTGCAACCCAYTGAAAAGTAGAACATAGTTTTAATAAAACAGTATGAATATTTAAATAGCATGAGTTATCTGGTCAACATTCACGTAGTTTCCTGGACAAAAGGCAGTATTTTTGAGGACAGAGCAAGCTCAGTGCAGCTTCATGCTGTTAATTCTGGTCTAAAGACATATAAGCCCTGGTTCTGCACTTGAAGAACAATGTGTTTAACTAAATGTGTTTCATCCTTTCAAAACAGATTTTATATCAATATTCTGTATTTCCTCAGTGGTACAACTGAGCTCCTGTGTTCTTCTGTCTTAAGCTTTTATAGGACACAAATTTAAYAAATAGAAAGTCATCCTTTCTACTGGAATCAGACCAGATCTATTAAACAGTAATTATTTGCTGACTACAGACGTGACAGTCTGTTGGATGAACAACCTTGAGGTGACCTGGACTGTCACTACCAAGAGTCACTTCAGACACAGTGACTCTACAGCTTTGTAAGATCTCGGTATTGTAGATTTATAGAACAGATTCACAGTGAAGACATGTCTAATTGTCAGGTTTAACTCTGTGTGAAAGGCTGCAATTGTTTAATAAAGAGTCACAGATTTTATTGGCATTCACTCTYACTGTTTGGTAGACTTTGAGAGAGAAAAGCAGCGTAAGCCATGGCTGTCTCAGCAGACTGACTACTATGAGCAGAGGCTGAGAAAGCTGGGGCCGTTCAGCCTGTGGCAGAGAAGGGTTGGAGAGATCTTAATCCATAAATACCTGATGGGAGGGGATGAAGAAGACTTCCTCAGAAGATGGGAGGGAACTGAGTCGTTCCCTGGGAWAGGATTACAGTCAATGGGCACAAACTGAAAGACAAGAAAATSCATGTGAACATAAGGAAACACGTTTTCATTGTGAGAGTGGTCAAACACCTGTGCAGGTTGCTCAGGGAGGTCATAGAGTCTCCAACCTTGGAGATACTCAAAACTCACCTGGCCATGCTTTTGGGCAGCTGGCTCAGGGTTGCCCTGCTTGGCCAGGGGTTGGACTGGATGGCCACCTGAGGCCCTGCCAACAGTCACTGAGACGGGAGCGACTAGGAAAGCAATGTTTTCTCCCAAAATAAGCACGCCTGCAGATATTTGTAAGACACAATTCTAGGTAACTAACGGATCATATGAAGCGTTGTTCCCGAATATGTGGCTGTTACTGAAAACGTGTGCCCAAAAAGGTCTTTAATTGTTTGATTTCAGTCGATTTCTTCATGCGCGCCTCACGAGTCACCCGGTGTGGCGCAGTAGGCCGGGATCTCCCCATGCGGCCCCGCAGCCCGGCGAGAGCGCCCTCAGGGGCGGCAGCGCCTCACGGGGCCGGGGCTCGGGCCGCCTTCGCGCTCCCCGCCCGCGCGCACCGGGCCGCGGCTCCGCTGCCCCTCCCCGCCCTCCCCGCCCTCCCCGGGGAGGCGGCGCATCCCGCATCCCGCTGCCGGAGCGGGGCCGGGGCAGCGCCGGCAGGAGGAAGGGGCACTCTCCTCTCCGCTTCTCTCCCTSTYCTCTCCCTCTCCTCCTCTCTGCTCGCCCCGCTCATCCCTCCTCCCTCCCGGTGCTGGCGGCGGCTCCTCCTCCCGCCTGTGACCCGGTGCCGCATGTGAGCGGGGAGGAGGGACCGCGCGGCGCGGGCCCCACTGTGGCGGCGGCAGGAGGAGGAGCGGGAGCTGGCTTGCGGTGTCCCCCCGCAGCCTCRTCGCTGGGCCCCGTCGGCGCTCCCCATGCCCGTGTGGTGCTGCCGCTGCTCCCTGGCCGGTCACTTCAGGTGAGGCGGCGGCGGGGAGCGGAGGGGCGGCGTGGGAGCCGGGCCCCGGGCAGCGGGCGGGGTCGGTGCGGGCAGGACGGGGACACCGGCGGGGCTGCGGCCTCCGCGGGGCTGCGGCGGCGAGCGCGGCGTTGCCCGGCCCCGCACGGCCTCGCCGGGGAAGGGATGGCAGCAGCGGGGCCGGGGCGGGCTCACCGTGACCTTGGGCAGCGCCGCGGCGCAGCCCAGCCGGGGGCAGCCCGCGCTCGCTGATGCTCGGTTTCGCTCCGGGGTTCGCAGCGCTGCACCGCCCGGGATGCTGGCCCTGAGGGGCATCGCTCAGCCCGCTCACCTGAAGAAAATCGAACAGTCCAGCAGTGCTAAATTCGCTTCTCGATGTGTCAGCTTGAGACCAAATTCAGATTCCTTTTATATAACGAGTTTTCTGTTAACCGCCCACCAGAGTCGGTTTCTTTTTTTTTTTTTTTTGAAAGTACGTAGTGTATTCTAGGATCCTTTAAAACTGCTACCTAGAAAAGGTATTTTTAATACCCTGTAGCGTTTATTTTTATAACCTGCAGCAAATGATTGTATAAATAATAATAATAATTATCTCTTTCAAATGGGAAAATAACTGTTATGTGTATGTTGTGGTTTTTTCCTCTTAATTTTTTTTGCATTAAAAAGCAAAAGCATGGATGCACGTTTGCACATTTTTAGAATCTGGGCGATTGACGAATATAATTCTCGAGGTTATTTGGTGTGACCGGCATAAGATAAACTAAGCGCTAGTGTTGGAACTGACTCATCTTGTGCCCACTTGCACGTCTGCAGGACTAGAGCCATAGGTAATTGCACCAAATCCCCACCACTGCAAACACTGCAAAGCTATCTACCGTTTATCAAGATGAAAACTTCTGATACTTGATGGCTTTTGCTGTTGTTCAGAGGCCAGGAAGGTGGTGGCCCCTAACTTCAGATCTTGCTGGGTTCTGGTATGATGTTCTTGCAAAGGAAGAACATGCCCCTGACAGCAGTCCTGCACTGCACTTTGTGTGCAGATGTTTCTGTGCAAAGAAYAAGAAACTGCACGTTGCATGCAGATGTTCCCGTGCAAAATTTCCAGTTTGGTAGTTCRTGATGCACTAAGCTACAGAGAAGCAACGTTTTTATTGTTAAAAGATTCTTTTGTAGCCTACAGCATTGTGTATGTATCCCTTAAAAGTGGGTTTGAAATACTTCTTTTGAAATGTTTCTTTCGGTTTTATGTTTCATCAAGCACAGCAAGTATAATAAAACCACACTGAAGCATGTATGCTTCCTTTAAGCCTGTCTTTTGCAAAGCATAAGTAGTATTGCCTTAGTCAACTTCGGGCAAAGTCTGGAAAATAAAATTGTCTACCTGTTCGTTTCTAAAAGCAGAGTAAAAAAAAACAGTATGATACTTAGATATCCCCTCTCTGACTCCTCATCTTCATCCAACTGATGCTGTTTGTAYGTTAGGCATCTGCAAGAGCTAATGTGCAGCTGTAATCAGTGAGCACGAAATTGCAATTTTTTTTGTTGTACTGTGGGGAATCCTGATATCAAGCACTTTCCAAAATAAATGCAGCCTTAAATAAAACCTATTTAACAATGCCATCAGAGAGATGTGTTACAGAATGTGCTAGTGCTTTTACTGCAGGGCTCTGTCTCCAGTTTACTTCAGACTTTCCCACTGAGGAAAGCTTTTGAAACAGAATATTGGGTGCTGTGGGAGTTGAGGCAGTACATAGTGTACATGGCTTCTTGAAGGCCCTGGGAATTGGATCAGTGTCTTACGGTTTTGGTCCTGTGTAGAAAATAATTGCTGAAACACTAGAATAGCTTTGAGATATGCAAATTCTTAAGAAATTGGTAAGAGTACTTCTATTTATTACAAATAATTAACCATATTTGTAAAGAGAAACATTTTTTAGAACTGTTGATAGGGGTATCTTTAATTAAAAATTGATTGTCGTTACTGTGAAGACTTGTCAAAATAACTGCATAACAGACTGTTTTTAATTTGACTCTGTCTTTCTAGATAGACTGATAGTGTGTGCTTCTTCAGTGACCTGGAAAGGTTTCAGAAAGCACTTCTAAATAATTAAACAGAAAACATTATAAGACAAGTCTTTGTATTCTAGAAGCACATGTAGAYAGTCAAGAGTTACAAGAGAAACTTAAGTAGATTTTGCAGAGAAAGAACTGAGAAATCTAGGAAAATGGCTAGTGGTGAAAGCAGYCTGCAATGCAGGAGCTGACCTGACTGCATGGCAATTCCTTCTATAAAAAACTTTTTTAATAGTGGTGGAATGGGTTATKCTAGGGCTTAAAGGGATCACTTCACAAGGATCTATCCTCACACCACTGCCAGCTTTCACCAGCCTTACTTCTCCCGGAATGGAATTTTGTTGAGGTGAAGTCCTGTATGCTGCTCAGCTAGGAGGAAAGCATGTGAGCACTGCTGTTGTACCTTAGCTGCTCCTTCAGGCTTTGTCTGGCCTTAATGTTGTTAATTGGCTAGGCTGTGTGTATCCTCATTTGATAAGGATAATGAGGAATGAATTCTACTGTGTGTGGGATCAAAGTAATGCTTGTGGTTATACTTTGGCTTTGTATAAACTGAGATTAGGAATCTACATTTCTGCAGAGCCATCTGTGCCTTTTTGTTATCCTTCTGTAGACTTGGTAGGAGAAAGTGGACTTTTTAAAAGTCTTCTGTTAGAAAAGCTGTGCTGAAGAGTAAGATTGTGCAGATTGGATAAAACATATCTGTTTTGGTCTCGATTTTGCCAGTTTCATAGCTCTTAAAGTAAARCATAAAAAATGACTATTTTTGAAGAGACTGTTCTGACAAGAGTTCACTGTTTCATTTTAGTTTTCTCCCATCTGTCCTTCTTAATTAGAACTTACAGCGGCACTGAAACCGAAGGACAGCTTTTGAATTCCTTTGTTCAGTACTTTGGTGACAGCCTTGGGAGGAAGATTAAAAGAATGCCTTTAATTGAAGAAACTGTTCTGCCTGGGGACTCCCTTCTTACTCTGCCTGTAGTAGTAATAGGTGAGTTTYTTTACTTTTTTAAAGATTCACTGTCACTGCCATTACCTTTATAGACCTGCTGCATGAAATTATTTATCACTAACTAATGTTTAGGTTTCTTACAATTATGATGATTATTAGAGTAATACAGTTGTTACAATTAACAACAGTAACAAAATTATATTAAGGGACTTGTTGGAGTATATTTGAATTCAGATTGTGCATTGAGAAAATGAGCTGCATTATTTGGCAGCAGATATGGGAGTATTAATGGAAGAACTGTATTGATTCTAGTGTTGATAACATGCAATTGGTTAATTGATTAATATGATATGTCTATTTCAGGATGCATGGAAGTTGTCAATGGTACACCAGTAGAAATCTGTGGGGTCACAGTAGGAGAGAGAAAAGCATAATGTAAAATGTGTGCTGTATGTTGATCAASTGCTAACCTGTCATTAATTGCCTTTTTTCTCTGTTGCATCCATTACTAATGTCTAAATATTCTCCCATATTTTCCAAAATGAATCCAAGTCAATTCAGCTAGTTTAAAACAATAAATTGTTTGTTACAAGGCTTGTACTTGTAAAATGTTGAATGACAGGATAACTGAGGGAGGAAGCTCCATAGGTGCCCAGCTTAATTGAGAGTGCCAGGATGATGTGTATTGGGGCAAGTTTTTTCAGCAACAGCTGGTCACCAGCTAATTATCATCATGACTTCATGAGGGGATAAAGGAAAGATCTGGAGTAAAGAAGGTTTTCAGTAATCTAGTCCAAAGCTGTTGGGACTAGAGCAAGTACCTACAGACAAGCAGAGATTGTAGAGATTGATATTGCAACATAATTGTGTTCACAGTGAGTCTCCACAATTTTGAAAGACTAGTGTTTGTACAGTGCCTGTTCTCAAAGCTCTCTCTATGATAGTTTAGAATACTGCTCATGTAATAGATTTACGTGTATGTGACAGACATGAATCAYTTGATGAGTTCTGCATCACAGTTGAAGATAATGGTTTCCTGGCATTTTGTCAGCCTTACTATAGGTTTGCCATATGGTTAATGACTTACTTTCCACTTTTCAGTTTGGCAGATATGTGTTATGCAAACACCTGTACTCAATACTTAATTTGTTTAGAACACCTTTCTAAGTGCTGACACCAAACACAGCTGCCTTGACCACTTCTCCACCATCCAAATGCTTTTTCACAGATATATTTGAGACACCCTGCAAGCTGATCTTCTCCACTGGC